CGTCGGGGGGGGGGGGGGGCGTTTCTGGCCACCAGCAGGGGCCGCCCCTAGGCTCTAATTGGTCTTTAGCTTTGTGCCTGGCGTCCTTCTCCTGCAGGCGGCGATATTACCCGACGGTACATGATCCCAGATCTGTCCCCTGTGTCCTTCAATGAACGGGATTTTACGGTGAGTACAAAAATCCTATTATTGCTGGGAGTTGTAGTCCTCTATAGCCGGTGCCATTCAGAATTGCTGTATAATGTATTGCTGGGAGTTGTAGTCCTCTATAGCCAGTGCCATTCAGCATTGCTGTATAATGTATTGCTGGGAAGTGTAGTCCTCTATAGCCAGTGCCATTCAGCATTGCTGTATAATGTATTGCTGGGAAGTGTAGTCCTCTATAGCCAGTGCCATTCAGCATTGCTGTATAATGTATTGCTGGGAAGTGTAGTCCTCTATAGCCAGTGCCATTCAGCATTGCTGTATAATGTATTGCTGGGAAGTGTAGTCCTCTATAGCCAGTGCCATTCAGCATTGCTGTATAATGTATTGCTGGGAAGTGTAGTCCTCTATAGCCAGTGCCATTCAGCATTGCTGTATAATGTATTGCTGGGAAGTGTAGTCCTCTATAGCCAGTGCCATTCAGCATTGCTGTATAATGTATTGCTGGGAAGTGTAGTCCTCTATAGCTGGTGGTATTCTGCATTTCTGTACAATGTATTGCTGGGAGTTGTAGTCCTCTATAGCCAGTGCCATTCAGCATTGCTGTATAATGTATTTGGTGGGAGTTGTAGTCCTCTATAGCTGGGGGTATTCTGCATTGCTGTATAATGTATTGCTGGGATTTGTAGTCCTCTATAGTCCAAAGGTTTTTATGTCAAGAGCTTCTCCATGGGACTTATTCCCTCATCTGCAGCATCTGGCCCTCACTACTACCAAGGGCCCGAGCTCTGCAATTCGCTCTCAGAGACCGTTGAGGTCCCAACTCTTTGGTTAGGACTCGTGACCGAGGTGTCATTCATGTGGCTTCTCCTGTCGAATTGTCTCGTCCTATAGGGTCCTTCAGAACTGATTAGGCACATTCTCATGTCTTGCTTGTCCCACTAGGTGGCCTTCACCTCAGAGCAGTCTCTGAACTGGCGGCCTTGTCTTGGAACCCGCTTTTGATCCTTCAGCTTTTTAAGGTCCATCTGAGATCTAGACACAGACCTTCCATCTAGCCAAAGGTGGTCCCTATGTCACCTCGATGTGTCCTGCAATTCTTCTCTGAGGAACCAGTTCCCCAGGAGGAGATCACTCTCCGTAGCCCGAAAGTTGCGCGAACTGTTCATGTCTATCTCTTGGCCATGGTCTCATTCCGGAAGACTGGCCTTCTTTGCCATAATGGAGGGTTCCAGGACTGGTATTCCTTCTTTCATCGCTGCTTCTAGGTGGATTCCTCGGGACGCTGGACTAAATTTTAAGGTTCCCCCTTTTCTGTGGAAGCTCATAGTCCTTTGATCTTGGTACGACTTGATACAATCTAAGCATGGTGGATCTAGGATAGGTTATAGTCCCCATAGGTGGTCTTCTTTTAATGTCCACTCCTCTTCCTCACAGTACAACCCAGTTGTTCAAGAATCCCGTCAATGGACTCGGAAGTCCATTTTGGTAAAGTTTCTTTTGGTGTTTCCATACAGAGCTTTCCTCCTGTGAAGACCCAAGACAAGGAGATCATCGCAGTCCCTCCTCCTCACTGCCTGACACGTGAGAGTAACAACTCTAGAAGCCACCAGGAAGATCCTCGAGCTGCTGACGGGAGAGGTGAGCGGCGCCGGGGATTCTGGGACATGATCCAGGAACAGACAAGGGGCGTGTCTGGGTGGTGACGGGAGAGGTGAGCGGTGCCGGGGATTCTGGGACATGATCCGGGAACAGACAAGGGGCGTGTCTGGGTGGTGACGGGAGAGGTGCCGGGGATTCTGGGACATGATCCAGGAACAGACAAGGGGCGTGTCTGGGTGGTGACGGGAGAGGTGAGCGGTGCCGGGGATTCTGGGACATGATCCAGGAACAGACAAGGGGCGTGTCTGGGTGGTGACGGGAGAGGTGAGCGGTGCCGGGGATTCTGGGACATGATCCAGGAACAGACAAGGGGCGTGTCTGGGTGGTGACGGGAGAGGTGAGCGGTGCCGGGGATTCTGGGACATGATCCAGGAACAGACAAGGGGCGTGTCTGGGTGGTGTTCCCGGGACTCCACCCAGGAAGATCTCACCATCCCCCACCATGATCAGGTAAAGGATCAATAAATATTGATAGCTATGATCTATATAGAACTGTGTTTGTTACAATGAATGTTTTATACGCAGAGTGGAGACCTCGGGGATGATAATATTGTTGTTAAAGACGAGTATAAAGAGGAGGACGAGGAGTACGGGGTGATGACGGAGCTTTCTGAAGGACACATGGATCTCTACAAGGATGACATGATGGAGCCAACAGAGAGATGCCCCCGCCCCCTGTATTCCCGGGACTCCACCCAGGAAGATCTCACCGTCCCCCACCAGGATCAGGTAGATGATGGACAATTATTGATAGCTATGATTTATACACAAACATGTGACAATAAAAGTTTTATTCTATATCCAGAGTGGAGACCTCGGGGATTATAACATTGTTATTAAAGAAGAGTATAAAGAGGAGGATGAGGAGTACGGGGTGATGGAGGAGCTTTCAGATGGACACAAGAACATGATGGAACCACCTAGTAAGAGGAACCCACCAGAGAGATGTCCCCGTCCTCTGTATTCCCGGGACCCCACCCAGGAAGATCTCACCATCCCCCACCATGAGAGATGTCCCCGCCCCCTGTATTCCCGGGACCCCACCCAGGAGGATCTCACCGTCCCCCACCATGAGAGATGTCCCCGCCCGCTGTATTCCCGGGACTCCACCCAGGAAGATCTCACCATCCCCCACCATGATCAGGTAAAGGATCAATAAATATTGATAGCTATGATCTATATAGAACTGTGTTTGTTACAATGAATGTTTTATACGCAGAGTGGAGACCTCGGGGATGATAATATTGTTGTTAAAGACGAGTATAAAGAGGAGGACGAGGAGTACGGGGTGATGACGGAGCTTTCTGAAGGACACATGGATCTCTACAAGGATGACATGATGGAGCCAACAGAGAGATGCCCCCGCCCCCTGTATTCCCGGGACTCCACCCAGGAAGATCTCACCGTCCCCCACCAGGATCAGGTAGATGATGGACAATTATTGATAGCTATGATTTATACACAAACATGTGACAATAAAAGTTTTATTCTATATCCAGAGTGGAGACCTCGGGGATTATAACATTGTTATTAAAGAAGAGTATAAAGAGGAGGATGAGGAGTACGGGGTGATGGAGGAGCTTTCAGATGGACACAAGAACATGATGGAACCACCTAGTAAGAGGAACCCACCAGAGAGATGTCCCCGTCCTCTGTATTCCCGGGACCCCACCCAGGAAGATCTCACCATCCCCCACCATGAGAGATGTCCCCGCCCCCTGTATTCCCGGGACCCCACCCAGGAAGATCTCACCCTCCCCCACCATGATCAGGTAGGTGGAGTTGAGGGGGCGGGAACATAAAGTGATGGAACGCTCTGACATGTGGAGATGACGTGTGGACTCTACAAGACGAGATCTTCTATGTGATGTCACATCATAAATCTCGTTCCCTTCTGTTGGTTTAGGGTGAAGATCGGATTAAAATCAAAGTTGTTGAAGTAGAAGAGACGTGTGTGAAGGAGGAGGCTGGACTGAGGACAGTCAAGGAGGAGGACACTCCTACAGAGATCGGCACAGGTGACCCAGAATATATTCTTCTGTTATCTCTGCTCTGTTACTGCACGCTGATTGGTCCAGAGGAGGGCGGAGCTGAGTGATATCATCCTAGTTCCAGAAGCCCGAGGTCTATGGTCACTTGTTCTGTGGTGAAGGGTCTACAGGTCTGAACTTTGAGCCTCTTGTTTCTCAGAGGTCACATGACTCAGTGCCTAGGCTTGTGGTCGGGTAAAGAGCATGCTCCTCCCAGTCTCCCCTGGCTCCACCAGTGATGGTGATCTGGGAGGAGGCCCTTTGACGGAAGAGGGGAGGAGTCCCGGCTGGTTGGGACCTCCTCATAGAACATCTGCTCCCTCAGACCTCCTGATCCCGATGGAATGTTGAGTGAAGTCATCTAACCCTCTCATATCTCTCCATCATGTGTCTCTATGTTTCCAGGACACGCCATGGAGGAACCCTCAAAGGATCGTCTGACCTTATCTCCAGGTTGTAAGATGGAAGATGAGGACATCACAGCAGATTGTGCGGGAGAAGAGACAATGAGCTCAGCTATGGATGGTGGACGTCACGGTGCGGATAGACCATGGACTCCCTCTGACTCTGAGCGACCTCGTCCTGTGGGCGATGCGGCCGGAATTCAGGGTGACAAGCCGTTTCCCTGCCCCGAGTGTGGAAAATGCTTTGCAACGAGAACACTTGTTAAAAGACATCAAAGATCTCACACGGGGGAGAAGCCGTACACCTGCCCTGATTGCGGAAAATGTTTTTCACAAACATCCAAACTGGTCAGACATCAGAGATCTCACACGGGGGATAAGCCTTTTTCCTGCGCCGAGTGTGGGAAAGGTTATCCGGTAAAATGTGAACTGGTCTCGCATCTGAGAACTCACACTGGGGAGCGGCCGTATTGCTGCCCCCAATGCGGGAAAGGTTTTAAAGAGAAATCCCATCTTAACACACATCTGCGATCTCACACGGGGGATAAGCCCTATTCCTGCCCCGAGTGTGGGAAGTTTTTTAAAGAGAAGTCCCATCTCTACACTCATAAGAAAACTCACACAGGGTTGAAGCCGCATACCTGCTCTAAGTGCGGGAAACGGTTTTCAGAGAAGTACCATCTTAACAGTCATGAGAAAACTCACATGGATGACAAGCCGTTCTCCTGCTCTGAGTGTGGGAAAGGTTTTACGATGCTGTCCCATTTTAACATACATTTGAGAACGCACACGGGAGAGAAGCCGTTTTCCTGCCCTCAGTGCGGAAAATGTTTTGTCAGAAAATCACACGTGGATAGACACCAAAGATCTCACACAGGGGAGAAGCCCTATCCCTGTCCTGAGTGTGGGAAAAGTTTTTCACAGAATTGCCATCTTACCAAACACCAGAAAGAGCACACGGGCGAGAAGCCGCACTCCTGCCCCGAGTGCGAGAAATGTTACACACACAAATCGCTACTAGACAGGCATCGCAGATCTCACACAGGGGAGAAGCCGCATTCCTGCCCCGAGTGCGGGAAAGGTTTTTCAGACAAGACCAAGCTTTCTAGACACCAGAGACTGCACACGGGTGAGAAACCGTATTCCTGCCCCGAGTGCGGAAAACGCTACCCGCAGAAATCAGAACTTGTTATACATCAGAGATCTCACACGGGGGAGAAGCCGTATTCCTGCCCTGAGTGCGGAAAAGGTTTTACACAGAAATCTCATGTTGCCAGACATCAGAGGTCGCACACAACCCCTGAGGTGCAATAGTGTCCAGTGTGTGGGAAATGTAATCTGTATGTCAGCGGAGATTTGACACTGGGAAGAAACACACCTTGCAGGCAGCTTCATTGACTCGGGAGAGCCCCCTGCTGGAGGAAAGAGGAACATACGTCATCTTCAGATAGAACATTTCCATTTTACTCGAAAAATATATTTTCAGACTCATTATTGTTTGTAAGTCGGTAAAAATGTTCCTTCAGATCCATGTTAATAAATATCTTTCATACTTGTGTCTCCGTGTTTTTGGAGCTGACACTCTCCGGGGGGTCTGCAGTGCACCCCAATCATTAGTCCATCAGCTCATATGTCACCACCCACCTTCTATACCTCCTCGGTGACCATGACCACTCTTCAGGAGCTGGCAGAGCGACGGGGAACGCACCCTCTGGAGATACCTCCAACTCCATCACTTGGTGATCTCCAATCCGTTCCCTAAACCTTCTTCACCCCCCTAGAAACCCCAAAGTCACCTACAACTCCACCGAACCCACTGCTGGTACACCCATCCTCTCCGCAACACCCCAGCTTCCGGTCTCAACGGGCGGTGGAGCTCCACCACACTTTGACCGTTCTGTGGACCGTGACCTCCAACAAGAAGGACAATCATGGATTCCAATGTCAAGCTCTTATCCAGATGGTACTATACGCCTCTCAAGCTTTGCTCCTTGTATATGAAGACCCCCCCCTTCCTCAGGGTTTTGAGGGAACTTTTCCTCACCTTTGACCTTCGATCCAACACTTGTAGGCAAAGGTTTTCATCACATGAGGAACCTCATTCCTGCTAGATCCACGGACTGGAACCCTTCCATTGTCCCGCCTCCTAAGGACAGGTTCCATGCAACCCATGGAGGAGACCATCCACACCTTGAGGGAAGCCTCACAAATCCTAGAGTACATGGGACAACTTTAAAGGTTCTTTAACTTATATAGAGGTCCTATCCCAAGAGTAACTCCTCAATAACCATCCAGGACACCCCCCCCCCATGGACCCACTCCTTACCCCCAAACCATCCATCGCGGAGAACAAACCGCGTTTCCACCAACGCTTAAAATGTTAGTAAGAAGCATGGATGGTTTCAAATGATTTACAAGGACAACTCTGCCTATTGTAGAACGATGTGTAGATTGACCCACCTCCACCCCGTTCCCATCCCGACCCCAACATTCTCCTTACCCTCTTCCTACTGCATTTCACACTAAACCCTTCCCCATTCCTATCTTCATAACCTCCATCCACCCAGTTCCCTTCCCAACCCCAATATTCCCTCACCCCTTATTCCTATCTTCATAACAAGTTGGACTACTTTTGGATGTTCTGGCATCTTGAGGGACTTCCTGTGTATGAGAAACAAAATTTGCGCTCATCGTAAATTCCTTTTCTTTGAGGGGTAAAGGTCCCGTTCCTCCGTATTTATGGTCATACCCTTAGTACTGCTTTACCTCAAAAGGAATTATGGAAGTAGGAGTGGTTATCCAAGGGCTGGCCTACAATCGTTTCACGTGCCAGTGTCCGATCCTCCAGTGGGGACACCATATCTGATAGTCGAATTCAAGTCAGTTGGGATCCCGAGTGACAACATTGACCAAATACTGGCTGGCCAATGACGTCACTGAGTCCTTAAGACTTCCCAATAGTAGAAGACTCCAAGAAAAGGACTCCAATCAATGGACCCACAGCTGGGATTGGTCTGTACGAGGTATACAGCTGCCGGATCTGGAAGGGTTTAGTAGGCAACCAACTTGATGTTGGTCAGATATCAATTAAGGACTCATGACTCTTGTCTTCGTGATTCAGAATTCTTCCCTGATGGGAGATGATGACGACGTCTGAACCTGAGACAACCCTCGGCCTGAGATTTATTCCTAAGAAAGATGAAATGTTGATAATATTGAGATGGGTTGGTGAGCTCGGAGACTTTAGTCTTTAACACCAATCGTGTAAGGTTCCTACTCACAATTCTTAGGCCAAGTGTCTCCATTGGGGACGAGGCCCAGGATCAACCAAGTCCAACGACACTTGTTCACTGCACACACATAGATCTGATCCCTGAAGATAATTCAAAGACTTGAGTCATGTAAGGCTTTCACTCCCGAGGCCTTCTCCTCGTGTCTCTGTTGAGCTGATCGAGGTTTGGTGGAAAGGTGTAGATGTCACCATGGGGGATGCTTGTGAGAGTCACGGATGAGAAGGTCCTCCTCATGGATGAGGTTATAAGAGAAGAACATGGACTCCTCATCCTAATAAGTGGATTATATATGTAGAGAACTGAAGATATTTCAATCATTGACTTGGGTCACGTAATGTTTTTACTCGTGAGGCCTTCTCCTCGTGTCAGTTGACTTGATGGTCAAGGTTTGGTGGAAATGTGCAGATGTTTCACCATAGTGGATGCTTGTGAGAATCACAGATGAGAAGTTCCTCCTGATGGATGAGGTCATAAGAGAAGAAAATGGACTCCTCATCCATATAAGAAGTTCCTCCTGATGGAGTTAATTTTAAACAGTTTATCGCTAATGTTGCCGCCACCATTAAACATTTTGTACATGGAAATCATATCCCCCCTTAATCTCCTCACCTCTAATGTGAACATGTTTAAATTTAGTAGCCTCGTCTCGTAGCTCTGGTCCTCCAGCCCCTCCCCCTTGTCTCGTAGCTCTGGTCCTCCATACCCCTAATTAGTTTGGTTGCCCTTCGCTGGACTTTTTCCAACTCAAGGACATCTTTTCTTAGTACTGGTGACCAGAACTGGACCGCGTACTCCAGATGAGGTCGAACCAATGATCTATAAAGTGGCAAAATTATAGACTTGTCCCTGCAATACATAAGAGATAAGGTACATAAGGTCATAAGAGAAGAACATAGACTCCTCATCCATATAAGAAGTTCCTCCTGATGGATGAGGTCATAAGAGAAGAACATAGACTCCTCATCCATATAAGAAGTTCCTGCTGATGGATGAGGTCATAAGAGAAGAAAATGGACTACTCATCCATATAAGAAGTTACTCCTCATGGATGAGGTCATAAGAGAAGAACATGGACTCCTCATCCACATAAGTGGATTATATATGTGGATCCCTGAAGATATTTCCATAATGGACTTGAGTCACGTACGATTTTTTACTCACAAGGCCTTCTCTTCGTGTCTCTGTTGAGCTGATCGAGGTTTGGTGGAAATGTGTAGATATTTCACCATGGGGGATGCTTTTGAGAATCAAGGATGAGAAGTTCCTCCTGATGGATAAGGCCATGAAGAGCAGAACAAGGACTCATCATCCACATAAGTGGATCCCTGAAGATATTCCATTCATCGACTTGAGTCGGGTAAGGCTTTCGCTCACGAGGCCTTCTCCTCGTGTCTCTGTTGAGTTTCTGATCAAGGTTTGTGAGAGTCATGGAACCCCAGATGAGAAGTTTCTCCTCATGGATGAGGTCATGATGAACAGAACATGGACTCCTCATCAATATAAGAAGTTCCTCCTCGTGGATGAGGTCATGATGAACAGAACATGGACTCCTCATCAATATAAGAAGTTCCTCCTCGTGGATGAGGTCATGATGAACAGAACATGGACTCCTCATCAATATAAGAAGTTCCTCCTCGTGGATGAGGTCATGATGAACAGAACATGGATTCCTCATTCACATGAGACTCACAGGACGATGGTGATGGACCTTCTACAAAGTTCTAGAGCAGGGGTAGCAAACCACCGGCCCTCCAGCTGTGGGTGAAACTACAAGTCCCATGATGCATCTCTCTTCGATAGTCATGTCTGTGGCTGTGAGAATCTTGCAATGCCTCATGGGATTTGTAGTTCCACCGCAGCTGGAGGGCCCGGAGGTTTTATGAACATCCCTTCTCAGTGGGGATGGAGATGACCCATCTATAAGGACAAAGGCCGGGTTCACACTACGAGAGGTCTCTCGAGGATGCAGCTCCTCTGAGCTCTACTGTGACGTCTTTTGGGCTCGACTTTTGCAATTCTCTTTCGTAGATCGTTGATGTCCAACTCTTGGAAAAGGACTCTTATCCAAGGATCCGGATGTTTATTTCTCCATGGAGGAGTGGAAGTATCTAGAAGGACACCGGGATCTCTACAAGGACGTGGTGATGGAGAATGCCCCGCCCCTCACATCACCGGGTAAGAGGAGAGAGCAGTACGGAGGCTCCGCCTACATCCCCCATCATCTGATACACACATAGAAACAATGTATTCAGTCAGTGTGTGTGTTTCCTACAGATGGATCCAGTAAGAGGAACCCACCAGAGAGATGTCCCCGCCCCCTGTATTCCCGGGATCCCACCCAGGAAGATCTCACCCTCCCCCACCAGGATCAGGTGGGTAGAACCGACCACCACGAGATTGTATCTCTATTCTCTTTATTCCCGGGATTCCACCCAGGAAGATCTCACCGTCCCCCACCATGATTAGGTAGATGATGAACAATTGTTATATTTCCAGAGTGGAAAGCTCGGAGCTTATAAGATTATTATTAAAGAAGAGGAGGAGAAGTACGGAGTGATGAAGGAGGTTTCAGATGGACACCAGGATCTCCACAAGGATGATATGATGGGGCCACCAGAGAGATGTCCCCGTCCTCTGTATTCTGTGGACTCCACAGTGGAAGATCTCATCGTCCCCCACCATGATCAGGTGGGTGGAGTTGAGGGTCCCATAAAACAACTCAACACTCTGCCATGTAGAGATGATAATGTTTTGTTATATATTTAGAGTGAAGACCTCGGGGATTATAATATTGTTGTTAAAGAAGAATATAAAGAGGAGGACGAGGAGTACGGTAGGATGGGGTGTAGAGGAGGACACCAGGATCTCTACCAGGATGATATGATGGCGCCACGTCGTAAGAGGAACCCGCCAGAGAGATGTCCCCGTCCTCTGTATTCCCGGGATCCCACCCAGGAAGATCTCACCATCCCCCACCATGAGAGATGTCCCCGCCCTCTGTATTCCCGGGATCCCACCCAGGAAGATCTCACCGTCCCCCACCATGATCAGGTGGGTGGAGTTGAGGGGCGGGAACATAAAGTGATGGAACGCTCTGACATGTGGAGATGACGTGTGGACTCTACAAGATGAGATCTTCTATGTGATGTCACATCATAAATACTTCTATGTCACAGATGAGACTTTCTGCCGTTGGTTTAGGGTGAAGATCTGATGAAGATGAAAGTTGAGGGTGAAGTAGAAGAGACGCATGTGAGGGATGATCAGCGATATACGGAGGAGGCCGGGATGATGAGGACGTCCATAGAGGAGGACACGCCTACAGAGATCAGCACAGGTGGGTCATAATATATTCTTCTTTTACCCGGGGGAGGGGCTGCCAGTCTATACTCTGATCTTCTCGTTTCTCAGAGGTCACATGACCCAGGGCCTAGGCTTGTGGTTGGGTGGAGAGCATGCTCCTCCCAGTCCCCAATGGCTCCACCTCCTCTGACAAGGCTGTGTCCATGTAGAAGTGATCTGGGAGGAGGCCCTTTGACTGAAGTGGGGAAGAGTCCCAGTGGGGAGGAGGCCCTTTGACTGAAGTGGGGAAGAGACCTCCTCATAGAACATCTGCTCCCGTCAGCACAGGTGACCCAGAATATATTCTTCTGTTATCTCTGCTCTGTTCCTGCTCACTGATTGGTCCAGAGTAGGGCGGAGCTGAGGGATATGAGCCAATAAGAAGTTGAAAATGGTCACCTCCCTGTACTGATACCCGTCCTGGAGGTTCAGCTGGCTGTATGAGGTTGGGTTTCACTCCTAGTTCCCGTAGCTCAGATATGAGAACACAGATTGAGGTTTTCTTAGGTTGGGTTTCTCTTCTTCCAGCACCCAAACCTCCCTGT